CCCCCCGCGCTCTAAATGAGCATTATTGTGTCGATTCTATTGCTTTACTGTAAACACAGGTTGTCTGCGTGTGCTTTGATGTGGTTTGCTCCTTCTTTGCTATCAAACATTTATTGCCTTTATCTCTCCTCCTTTTTTATGTTTGTTACTCTTTTGTAAAACCTAATCTTCAACAGTTAGATGACTTAATTATGTTACTAGTGCAGTAAAGTGCTTTCCAGAACATAAAACATTACTTCTGAACAAAATTGTCTCCATGGAGGGTACCTACGAGTCAACAACAAATAATGATTGGGGATGTGTGGAGGGCACATCTATTACTATTAGGTCTGACTTTTTTTTTGTCCTTCCTTCTGTTGTTTCTGTAAGTCTGTCACTATTAGTCTGTCAGTCTTTACCCCTGCACTGTTATTGTGTAGATATGCTTCTTTTGGCTCAAACAAACAAATAAAAACAAACAAAGAAGAATAGCCCGTGTGGTGTGAGTGAATCAAAAGATCTAGTAAGTTTGTTAGTATTTGAACTCTTAACCGGCTGCTTGCGCTGTGCACTTTCCGGGTAGCTGAGAATGTTTTGGAGTGTTTTACATTCTGCTAGAGTATTTAAAAGTTGTAAAGCGCTTAGAACATAGTATGGAGCGTTGACATGCAGGGCTGCCTGTCATTATGAATCTGATGGAATCGTTTCAATTTTTAAATTCAATTTTACGAAAATATGATCATAATACCCCTTATTCATGAAACAATTAGCTATGGTTGATGTGTGACATGACGTGCTGTGATGCACAATCAGGATCAAAGGCTTATGATGTATTCTGTTACATAGAGGTCTTTTGCTTTTGCAAGCAATAACTACCCCCTCCTCCTTTAAAAAAACAAAACTAGACAATGAGGAATCTGGCAAAACTGCTTTTGTTAATGTTACATATGCTTGACTACTACCCCTCTCCTTGACACCCCAGGGAAGAAGACTTTCCGTGGCCATATTACAAATTTTTAAGCTAAATGACTAACTTTCTATTTGTTAATTACAAAAACATATGCTGATGGGTGGGCAGCCCTGAGTACGTACTGTATGAATACAAGTTTTATTATCATTATCAGTACTGTTATTATTATTGTTGTTGTTACTACTATTATTTATTTATTTATTAATTTATTATGTTTTCTCCTCCTTATTCCTCAACCACCGCCATACAGGTCTAAAGACAGAAGGCCTGTACAGAATCCCCGGCAACAAGGCACAGGGCGAGCTCTTCCTCTCCCAGTACGCTGCCGGTAAGTGTGACCACAACTGTAACCCTAACCCCGGTCTCTCTAGGATCATTATCTTTATGCGATCATTACTCAGTATAGTAGTCAAACCTGTGTAAGACGGAATGGCAAGGAGCCAGAAAAAAAATAATTATGTCTTAGACATTTTCTGTCTTAAACAGGGGGAGATTTGTGGGTGGGGGAGGGGGGTGAAGGGTCAGAAGCCCAGCCAAATGGGATCAAGGGCCCGTTTGTCCGATCGGCAAGCAGTGGTTAAAACTTCACACCTCTCAAGTACCATCATCTCTGAAAATGGCATTCGTCAGTCCTATTTATCCATTGCCACCAGTGCTTGCAACTCATAGGACCACTGTTTGGTGAGATATTATGTATTATGATGTTGCGCTGATGAATTATGGTATGTTTTCACGAATGTATTTGTGAATGCTATTATAAGCCAAATTTCCCCTCGGGGAGCCAAGAGATAATAAGTGGAATTCTAAATGTCCTCATTGGTTTTGCCTGTGGTTTCTTGTTATCTGCAGATCCCAATGTAGACATATCAACATTAGAAATCCCAGTCAATGCAATCGCCACCCTGCTCAAAAGTTTCTTCAGTGATCTCAGCGAGGCGTTGATCCCCTCTGCCCTGTGTGACGAGCTGCTGGAGGCCGCCGGTGAGTACTGTCTGGATAGACAGAAAGAAATGAATGCATGCAGATAGACCAAATGTGTGTGGCTCTGGGGAATACGTTGGAAAGTGGACGTTTTCAAAACTGACCTTTTGGGGGTATTTTGACGGCTTTGTCTTTTTTCAGAATTTTGCACCTTTTTTTTTCAGGTGCTAATCGAGCATTCTGGAAAAAAAAGTTATTGAACTTCAAAGGGGAAGGGATCCAAAGGAATTTTTTTTAGAAAATGGCTTTGAAAATTTTCCAGGATGAAGCTGTGTCAGAGACACAAAATTTTCACAGCCCTGTCTTTTCGTGCTGCTACGATATTCATGTACATTCATTCTCCCCTGAAAAGTGAATATTCTCTTTCTGTATTTCTTGGTGTTTTACAATGGGGGGTTTCACTTTCGAACTAGTGTCCCTTCTCAGGAGTAAACATTATCACATTTCAGCAAGATTTATCTGCTGTATGGTCTCAAAATAATCTTCTTTTACATTCTGAAAAGCAAATGAACAAAACGTTTTTAATTTCTATCTCCCCGAATTAATTTTAGGGATTTTCCTGAACTGCCAGAATTAAATCTGGGCTGTCATTTAGAGTTCACATAAGTTTTTGTATTACGAACAATTTTGGATCCAGATCTACCTTGCTCACCCACCATGACAAAATATTAACCATCAACAACATAGGGGAAGCAGATAGTGCGATTGAATGCTGGAATTTGGTTTGGAAAATGACTGGGATTCTAGGTCCAAAATTGTCAATGCCATGAGCTATCACTCGAAAATATGCCTTGAAGCGTCAACTTCTTATTAGGAAAGGAAGTATCATTATGTCTATTTTTAACTTGACCAGCATTATAAACATGGATTTAGAAGAATGGACAGAAAAGTGTATTTAATTAGGGGATTTAAAAGCAATATGCTTTGTGTTGTTCTGGCAAATGGTGGTAAATAAAAATGACATGGAGCGTGTCGTTCTAGCTAATAGGAGTTGACTTAAGATCTAAAAATAGTTAATCTTTCCACATTTCATAGAAGGTAGTTTCTGTTGGAAAGGAAGCTCAAGGTTAGTTTTTAAATATGTGTCAAAATAACCTCCACCTTCCAACAGGTTTTTTAAGAGTCACACACAATAATTAGACAGTAATTTCTTTGGTACAGTTTCATTATGAAAAAACCTTTGAATGAATAATTGCACTCTGTCTTTACTGGCTTCTTTTATAACTGTCCTATCATTAAAATGCTCTAATGTCGAACAAGCAAAAATGCCCTTGTTGTATATAGACGCCAACAAGACAATGCAGGTCTACTGGGAATTTCAGGTTTACATTTTGTTAATAATTTTAAAAACAACAAAAAACCCAAACTTGTGGTAATTGCTCAAATTCTTAAAAATATGTTTAAAAAGACTTTGAAACTGTCTCAGAGTACAGATATGCTGTGGGTTAAATTTATATGCTTGTGAGTCAGATGCTACAGGCACTCTGTGGATATATGTGTATGTGTCATGACATCGTAGAATCAGGCGCTTGTCAATTTTTGGGCATATGGGGTTATTGGTATCGTCTTAAAGCCTGTTCATTTGCCTTCCTTTTAGTGAAAAAAATATCCATCAATGTTGAAAAGAAGTCGAAATATTTGCGATTGAAGGAGATCTGGGTCGCCTGGTTTCAGAGGTAAAATTACCTAGAAATGGCCACCAAACTTAAGTAACTTTCATGGCCTGAGAACTTGGAAACTGAAAATTTACAATTTTTTGTGCCTTTAATCAATGTTTTTCTGTAAAATCCTCTCTATAATGTGTTTTTAAATGGACATAAAAGGTGTTGAGCCAAGAAAAGAGAATAAGAAAACAAAATATTTTTTAAAAATTGCCCTTTGGACAGAAAAATGCTGATTTCTTTGATTTAATTTTGATGAGCGCCTGATTCCACCAGGATGCCTCACATATATGCTTGTGCTATTGTAGATGTTTTGCTTGTGAAAGGTCATGCCAATTCCTTGACATTTTCAAGACAGATGTAGCATGCTTTACATTGGAGTTAATGCCATTTCCTTGATCTCTTTCCTTGCTCAGTGGTTGTCAAAAAAACAGGTAAAGCAAGATAGACACTGGATTTTCCCCCATTATTTTAACGAATCTTCTCATGTATAGATGTCTGTGTTCTTTCATACACTTTTCTTAGGGAAAAGAAAAATCTTTTCCCTTTTCAAATAAACTTATACTTGTCTTGTGTTTGTTGCCCCCCTTCAGTCTTTGAGTGTACTTTCTGTTTGACAAAATGTTACTTGTCTTGTGTTTGACAAATATTTTATTTGTCTTGTGAGCTGAGTACTTTGTTGTACAAACTACAATTTTTTTACTTTGGGATTTTTGTTAGAGCTGTCAAGGCTGTTGAAAAGTCCTCTCTGTGACCCCCTAATTAATACCATTTATGTTCACGTTACATAGATTCTCCGTTTCTTTTTGTAGTAACGCCCGTTTTCGCGGCTGAAATTCAGGGCTTTCAAAATGATTTACATCAAAACCGGAAACATGGAGTTGGTACAAGATAGCACTAAGCTCGCATTGTGTTTGACTGTTATCTTACTTGTCTTGTGTTTGGTTATTATCTTATCTGTCTTGTGTTTGACTCAGATGTTACTTATCTTGTGTTTGGTTAATTTGTTACTTTTCTTGTGTTTGGTTAATTTGTTACTTGTCTTCTGTTTAGTTAATTTGTTACTTGTGTTATGGTCAGAGGCTCAGGTTAGTCCAAAGTTGTGTCCTTGGAAAGGCACTTTCCTCAAATGTTCCCCATTTGGCTCAGTCCTATTGGAGATTAACATTAAATTTAGAGTCCTGCCTTTTAAAGAACCTTACAGTGTTTCAATGGGTGTTCAACCTGTACAATTTTGCTCATATATATATGTATGTATGTCTTGTGTTTGGCAGTGATCTTGCTTGTCTTGTGTTTGACCATCATGGTGGTTGTCTCGTGTTTGTCGTTGAATGTTTCTTCAGTTTGACAAATCTTCACCCTTTTCTGTGCAGCCTATCTTTTTGCTGTAGAGGCTGACCTTTGGCCTGTTTCATCTTCTTGACATGACAGAAATAATCTCTGCGTGTGATATTTTTTCCATCCCCACTTTCTTTTTCCGTCTCTTTCCCTGGCATTTCTTAAAAACTGATTCCGTGTCTTCAGTTTCCTTTCTTTTGATCCATTAATGCGTAAACCACTTATTTATACAAGTGCCGGCAAAATATGATGGAAGAGAGAAATAAAGAAAATGAAGAAAGGTTGGTTGGGGTAAAAAAAAAAAGAAGTGAGAGAGATATCTGGCAAATGGAGACACTGAGAGTTAGAGTATCCCTATTCATTTTCCTGGAGTCTGATGTTGTTTATTTTTCCTACAGGGTCATTTATTCCTTCATCTATAGTCTTAAGTGGACATTTTTGTATACCAGATCTAATGGTGCACACTATTTATAAGTGGTCAGGAAGAAATGTGGTTGCCTTATTAAAAATGTAGACAAAATGGAAGTTGCTTAAAAAAATGTGGTTGGCGGGTGCTCTGGTGTGGTTTGCTCCTTCTTTCCTATCAAACATCTATCGTCCTTATCTCCCCTTCTTCTTTTTTATGTTTGTTACTGTCTTGTAACACCTCTAATCTTCTGGTGCTCATATGACCTTATGCAGTTGCGAGCGTCGTAAAACCTCTACTAAAACAAAACATTTAAAAAATTATTACAGTTGTCATTTTTTTTTGTGGGTCTGAGGGGGATGTGCTGTGCATGAAAGACCAGCTCACTAAGTTCTAAAATTCACATTCACATGTCTGTGTTTTTATCTTTCGGTTGTATATTTATTTTTATCTTTTTCAAAAGTACGCAAACATTTTTTCCCGTTAACTATCAGGTTTCCTTTTAAATAAGATATTACCGTACTTTCTACTATTCTTTGTTGATTGAACACCATTTTTAAAAAAATTGTTAAATGTTTTAACCTCTCTATCCACCGAATTTAGAAGATTAAGGACAGGGTCAAATTGAGCTGAATGGAGTACGACAGCTAAACAGACAGACGAGGAAACTTGATTTTTTTTTTTTCATTACCAACTTTCTCACTCTGGCATTTTACTTATGTCTTCTGAGTGCAACTGCATATCTAATGGGGATTTATCGAACATTTCTGCGGTGTGCACTGGCCTAAAGTCAAGTGTATAATTGAAAAGGAAGAAGGGTTGTGATGGGTGAAAATACATGAACAGGTGTGATCAGTGATCAGGCCTTTTGTAAGGGATTAGGGAGAGACATTGGGGAGGGAGGAGTGGGGCATGGTGTATAGTGGGATTCAATAATGATGTGTGGACTGGATGGAGGGGCAAAAGTTGACATTTTTTCTTTGGGCTAAAGTTAATTATGATTTATATATATACGCAGAGGGTCAACGTTTATCTGTGGGGATCAGGTTCCAATTAATCACATTTATGTGTGGGCAAAGCGATAGAAATTTGTCTTTGGAAGATCGTTATCTGTTTTTGTTATTCAGATTGGTGCGAATGTATGTAAGATAACATGTGTATGTTTATGATATGTGTATGTGTAATCTAGGAAGCTGACTTCTCCATTTTTGTTTCTGCTTTCTCTTAGCTAGACAAGAACATTGAAAGCTCGCACAATCGCACACACACACATGCACTCGCTCAAACACAAACACACACACATACTAACTCACACACACACACACACCTTAAAATGAAAGTTTAGTTATTTTGATTTTGTTTGCTAAATTTGAAAGCAATTTTACTTCAGTTTCACCCTCTGCAATGTCTCGCACATAAAAAGTGGGTGGGTGGAGAACACCACTGGTAGGTCCTACTTCTCTTCTTTACCACTGTTGTTTCTGCCAGTCTGTCTTACTCTTTCCCTGCTCTGGATGTGTTGCCAGTCTGTCTTACTCTTTCCCTGCTCTGGATGTGTTGATATGCATCTCTGTTCTAAACCTTCACACATAGTCAGTGCTTGTTTTTCCTATGTCTTTCCTCATGTCAGAAATGACGGACAAAAGCAGTCGGCTGCTGATGCTCCGAGGAGTCATCAAGAAGTTGCCAAATCAAAATGTGGAAGTGCTCAAGTTTGTCATATCTCACCTCTACAAGTAAGTCTGTCTGTCTGTCTGTCTGTCTGTCTGTCTGTCTGTCTGTCTGTCTGTCTGTCTGTCTGTCTGCCTGCCTGTCTGTCTGTCTGTCTGTCTGTCTGTCTGTCTGTCAGTCTGTCAGTCTGTTTCACCTATACCAGTAGTCTGTTTGTGCGACCTCTTCTAATAAGTCTGTCTTTCTATCATCTGATTTGTCTGTTTGTGTGTGTGTCTGTATTTTTCAATTCTAAAAGTTTGTCTGTCTGTCTATCCATTCGTCAGTCTCGCCACTACCAGGAAATTTGTCTGTCTGTCTCACTTCTGCAAATCTGTCTGTGTGTCTTTCTCACCTCAATAGGTCTGTCTGCCTGTCTGTCACTTCTGCAAATCTTTATGACTGTAACTGTAACGTCTTCCTCACCTCTACTAGTCTATGTTTCTGTTTTTCTCACTGTGTGGGTGTTTTACAGGTGCTCTGGTGTGGTTTGCTCCTCCTTTCCTATCGAGTATCTATTGTGTTCCTTTCTTTGAATGTTACTGTTACTCTTTAGTAATTGACCTAATTGTGTTGCATGTGCTGTAAAACACTTACTAAAACTAATAAACTAACTTTCTTACCTCTGCAAGTCTGAATTTCTGTCTCTCTACTCTACAAGTAAGTCTTGTCCCTCCCTTTCTCGGGTGTAATGTGTTGTTGTGTAATGGTTTGGCTCTTCAATGAAGCTTGCAGAAATGAGTTCGAGTCCTGAATGGGGAAGTTATTTTAACAAATATGTGTGTGTGCCTGGAGAAACATCACAGTGGTCAGAAATTTTGGATATTGAAATAAGGATACTTGTAGCAAATCCAATGCAGAACATGCTGATTTTTTAATTTTTCAAATATCTGGAGTAGTTTTAAAGATATGCCACAATTTGTAACACAAGGTGTAAAAACAGAGTTTGGAGAAAAATTACTTGAACACTTTCCACCCACGCAACGCTCAGAGTGCACAACCTCTATACCCTCGTACCAGGATGAAGATAGGGTACATCAGTACTATGCCTCTATCTAGGCAAAAATATCCCATTAAAAAATTTTCAGCATATTGAAAAAATTGAATGTGATGATCGCATGTTCATCAAAGAAGGAATTAGAATCGGAACTGAAAACATTAATTTAGCACATTCATCACCTGTATTCTCTTCATGGTGTAAGTGTAGAGCTGCACTCATACCAGGTCAACTCAACATTTTTCCAAAAAATGTATTACTACAATGATTGTTGTGAAACAAACTGATTTTTTACCTCAAAGGCAACACAAACCAGTCAGAAAGGAAATCATAACTTAAACAAGTGCACATATAAAAAAGGAGATCATTGCTACAATATTTTTGTTGCTATATAACTTCGTTGCCAGTGAGCATCCCATGGGGGAAAGGTATGGCTTCTTACCATCAACGATCAGCATCCCATGGAGACAAAGTGTTATCGTTACTACGTTGACCCAATTTATAGCATATTTTTTACATTTGGTGAAGAACAACACGTTCAAAAATAATTAACTAAAAAATATTTAGACTAAAAATATAAAATCCTTTCAATATGTCATTAAGAAATGGTCAAACGTGTGTTTTGTAATGGAACTTGATTTTTGACGTGGTACAACTTTTTTTTAACCTTTTCACCACATTGTTCAAAAATAGCTTTGACAATAACGGGAACCTTTCTCCAGGCACACACCCATGTCTGTCATGGGGTGCTGTGTCTCATCTACCCAGGTTGGCCTTGACATGCAGGCTCCAAGCAGCCCATGTTCGAAATGATCAAAATTGTGTAGATGGGGGTGCAAAACTTTTAGTTTTTGATCTCAACAGACATCTTCTCACCCCCCCCCCCCCCCCCCCCCCTCCTTTTTCTTACGGGCAGGTGGTTGATGGGTGTTCTAATGTGAATTGCTGCTTCTTTCCTTTAGAATATCTATCGTCTCTGTCTTTTCCTAATCTGTTTTTCCTTTTTTTTAATATGTTATTTTTATTTCTGTTTGATGTTATTTTGTAGTTGCACCTCTTATCTTTGGCACTTATATGACCTATTTGTGTTGCAAGTTCTGTTTAAATCCCACAAAATCTAGTAACTAAAACTCTCCTCTTTCAGAGTGTCGGAACACCAGGAGTACAACAGCATGAACAGCGGCAACCTGGCCAAGTGCTGGTGGCCCACACTCATCAGGCTGCAGTTCAAGACCTACGAGAAGATGGTCCAGTACTCCCAGGTCCCCGAGGACATAGTGCAGACCCTTATAGAGCAGTGCTACTTCTTTTTCTATGGAGGCAACGAGGTCTGATGACACTAACGCTCGTGCAGTCCTTCGTTTATTTTTTTTACGAGGGGAAGGGGGCGGGGGGGTAACGAGTTCTGACGGAAGATGTTGTTGACGCTGATGATCTTGAGGACAACATGCAGACCCTGATTTTTTTTTCTACCTGGAGAGGTAACAAGGTTTGCTTGACCTTGACCTTAAAGACATCTCCTGCATATCCTAATACAACAGTGCTTGCCCCCCTTTTTTTTGAACCTACAGGAGCGAGGTCGGATGGCCGTGACTTTTTCCTTCATCCTTGTTTCACCAAAGAGCGCCTGCCTCTCTCCTTTTTTTCCTTCTACTTCTATGGAGGCAATGAGTTCAGAGAGTCTGAGAGAGGCGCAAGTGAGTGAAGTGTGAGACGTCTAGCTTGACCCTCCTAGGCCTTGTCTAACCAGGCAGGAGAATGGCCCCACGTGTGGTTTCTGTTCTGTATTGGTGTTGATAAGTTGTGAATAGTTTGGACCTGCTTCTTCTTCTCCATCTCCTCCACATCCTCCTCCTTTTGTCAGACTTTTGCCTCTTCTTTTCCAGCTCCTTCTGCTCCTCCACCCCTATCTCTTCTCTACCACCTCCTCCTCGTCTGACTAGTGCCTCTTTGTCTTCTCCATCTCCTCCTCCTTCTCCTCCTCCTCCTCCTGGTCAAACTTGTGCTTAGCCAGTAAGAATGTACCAAATGTGTGGTTGATTGTCCTGCCGACCCTACCCCAACCCACCTGGGGTACCCAAAGTTCCCCCCTGTCCTCCAGCTTGTCACTTCAACTGTCCCCATAGAAATGTATTTGCATATTTTGTTGGATAATGTTTTCTGGAGTTCTGTAACCCTGTGCACCAACATAAGAATTTGCATGATTTTTAAGTACTGAGTTCTGGAGTCCTCTGTTCAGCTAAATGTGTGGGTTGAGAGGCTAGTATGTCACTGAGTTGAGTATGTCTCAATCCTTGTGCAATGGAGCATAATGGTGTTGAGAAGTGGATTCAAGAAAAGAAATATTTTGAGAAGTAGACATATTTGTTAAGGCAAAAATGTACTGTCCACAGGTCCTGATGTATTAGATTTTTTTCTCCATATACACCACTCACCAGAAGTTCTCAGGCACAGATTTAATGATAACTCTACTTTTCATGACAATGTGTAGAATATAGGACAGCAACCATCCGATATTTTGTTGCACAACTTTAATGCTAGAATGTTCCTCACCTCATAGGGGATGTGTTTGTTGTGTTAAGGGGAGGGGTGGAGGGGTTATGTCCTGTAGAAAGGACAAGGTTTGTCTGATAAATTATTGAGGGGAGTTCCAAGAACTGATGTGGACAAATTGAAATTGGCTCTGTTGGGGGCGGTGTCCTGTTAGGTGAAGATGTCGGGGCAAAAGTGAGATACCGGAGGAACATAAATGAAGAGAAAGAGTGAGCACAGAATGTGACCCCTGCTGGCTATGTGGGTATACTTGGTCACATGGTTTGTCATATACTCTATTTATTGCATTGTACACATTTCTCAGTTTAAAAAAATGCTGGAAATGAGAAATTTCCTTCAACAAGGCCCCTGTAACATTTGAGGTCATGTCTGAGGATTTCTTTCTTTTTTTTTTTTTCTGGTGCTAAACATGTAAAAATATCAAAATATTGTTTTTATTGGTGTCATAAATAGATTGTATTTGAAGACTCAAGGTTGGAAACGGCATCAGTGACAAAAAAGTGTAGAGGACTTCTGCTTTTCTGTCATATGTTCATATGAACTACCACAGTTCTTTGATGTAAAACTTTGTAATATGTCGCTAATACATTACTGTAACGGTTTCTGATAAAAAAAAAGATGTTGCTGGTCAAAATGGAGCAAGCCAAATAAGAGATGAAAACAGATGAAAGCAAATGTTTCGATTTGTGACTTAAATATATTCTTTATTTGTATAAAAACCAGTATGATATGAGATTGAACCTTGCCAACTTTTGGGGACAGAGGGGGTGGCAGCCGGTGGCTGAGGTCAGGAGATGAAAACAAGCCATGTCTGAGAGATGAAATAATGTAACGTGTGTCTGGTGTGAATGCGGTTATTGTAGATTGGTAGTTATATTATGTTTTTCTGCGCTACTTACAGAGTTGGAGACTCATGTCTCCCTCAGAAAAATCATTTGCATCCATCACAAGTTCAAGAACAATGTACTTATGTAATGTTAAGCTACAAACAAAAGCATAATGGGTTTTTTTCTATAGCGAATGTTAAAAATCTTGCAAAAACTGAAATGTTGTTTTACGTTTACTAGATCAACACGCTCTTTCTGCTTTATTGATAGAATATATGCCTTTGATGTTGTACAGAGATATTTTAATCAGGGTTTAGTAGTGACTCTTGAGATATATAGAAACTGTTCAAATGAAGTAAAATGTGTAGTTTACTCAGTAGAACTGTGAATGATTATTATTCGTAGAAACAAGGTCTCAAATAGTAAAATAGAAACCAGGAATACAGCAATAGCCTACACACTATGTGCAGTACATCTACTTGCATTACTTGCAATACCCTTGACAGGGTCCAAAATAATGCCATTCGTTTCACCTACTGCCGCATATGAAATTCTTTCAAATGTTGAACCCCTGGGAATTCGCAGAGATAAAGCAGTTTTGGAGCTCTGTGAAAGAACCAAAAGAATGTGCCCCAACCACCCAAACTGGAAATTAGTAGAAACACGGAAACCAAAGAAACAACTTCAACAAAATTCAATCATGCATCACATCTCAGAACTAATGGAGAGTCACCGCCTACCACAAAACAGAAGAGAAACCAAAGGAGTCAACCAAAACATTCCTCCCCACAGTACTTTGGAAAAACCAATCGTAACATCTCTCAAAGACAATAGCACAAAATCTTCTGGCCATGTGACGCTGATACTTGCATCAAATCAAACAATCGGCAGCTTTTCAGATAACTGGATACATGTCTATACCGACAGCTCAGCATTCAAAGGCACAACCAAAGCGGGATGTAGAATACTAATACGGTACCCAGGTGGAAGTTCCAATGAGATCTCTGCTGCCTTTGGAGAAAAATGCAACAGCTATGCTGCTGAAATGATGGCAATTGAAACAGCACTATACCATCTTCGCACAGTTTTTGACATTCGTCCAAACAAAACGCAGAGTACAGTGATTTTCACTGACTCACTATCAGTCTTGCAAGCGATAGAAAATGACCATCATCTAAACCAAGACTTGACACATATATACTGTTTAGTTCCCATCATCTGATAACATCCTGTGGCGTCAACTTGGGGATGCAGTGGATTCCCGGACACTCAAACATACCTGGAAAGGACAGAGCAGACACACTCGCCATAAGGGGTTCTAGACCGGAACAGCCCAATACTCCAACCTCATACAACACTGCAAAACAAATAATTAAAATCAACAGCGAACAAGATTGGATGAACAGATGGGCCTTGGGAAAGACAGGCAGAGCAGTTTTCAACTAAACAAAATGACAATATCAACCACCTGCAGAGAAAGAAACAGACCACAATCTTCCGCCTACGAACAGCACATATACAACTCAACTTTCACTTGAACAGAATAAGACCAGAACTTCCCCCAATGTGTCCTTTGTGTGACTATGCATATGAGACTGGATCGTCACCTTTTCCACTGTACAGCCCTAAATGGCATCGGAGCTACACTTCCCACCCGAAGACCTAACATTGACAACACTCTACGGAACATTACAGCAACTGCAGCAAACCTGCACTTACTACTACATGGCATTGGATAGAAGAGCGAGAGCCCAGCTGTTGCTGGATCAATAACAACTACTCAGTAGAACTGTGAGTGATTATTATTTTTGTAGAAACAAGGTCACAAATGGTAACGTAGAAACCAGGTTACATATGGTCAAACCGAAACCAGGTTATCAAAAGTTAGACTAGTGCCATCCCTAGGGATGGGGCAGGGGTATGTGTCTAGTTTTGAGTGAGTGAGATGAGAGGGAGGGATTCTATAGTGTGGTCCCTCTGTTGTTATTTCTGTCTTGCTTGTTTCATAACACTTAGTGAGGGTCATGGTGTTGACCTGATTTTCTTAGCCCCAACATATCCTTTATTTTTTTTATATTTTGTTGGTCTGTCGTCTTTCCCTCACCCCACCTATCCACACACAGACACAGTCTCCCCCTTTTCCCTTTTCCACACAAGAGGACAGCCATTATGTGTATGATAATCCTTCTATGGAGCTACACGAGCACTATTTGTAAAAAATCTCTCTCTTTCTCTCTCTCTCTCTTTCTCTCTCTCCCTCCTTCCCTCCCTCCCTCCGTCCGTCCCTCCCTTTCTCTCTCTCTCTCTCTCCCGCCTTTAGATTTATTCCAAATTTAATGGACAATCAGATAGAACAATAATCTTGGTCACAAATACATGAGGCTATGTGAGCTGGTTCAGATATCCTCCTCGGTCTACTTGTCTCCCTTTGCAGTATTATATTCAGGCACCCCCTACTCAGTAGAAAACAACTGCTTTTGTTGCCTGTACTTTCATGTTTTCCTAGTTTTTCAAATTCAATTGGCTTTGCATCAGTTGCTATGGTTGTAGCAGTTTCAAAGTTGGTTTGTATCTTATGTGAATGGATTTACGTGAATGGGGGTTGCCTGCCATGTTGCATTGTTTGAATTGTCTGTGGGATGGAAATTAAGCATGTTTTTGATATTTACCTGATGTAACGGCGGAAAGGGTTTTGTAGTTGTTATGGAAGGTATTTTTTCTAAACCTTTTTTGTCCTTTTTGATGAATGAGTGCCAAACTTCTATTGCCATAATTTGTGGGTACAGCGTAGCATATTCTTTTTATCAACAAGGGTTTGTGGTGTAACGGTTAGACTCTTTCCTGTCGCACGCAAAGGATGTGAGTTTATCTTGTGGGGAAATTATTTGTGAGGCAGCGTGGCGAAATCAGGCGCTCGTCAAAATAATGAAAGTAATAAAACTGTCATTTTCCTGCTGGTTTTAGAATTTTTATTGAATTTTTCTTTTTGGCTCAACACTTTACAATAAAGAACACATTTCTTTGATTTTACTGAAAAATGTTGATTAAAAGCATAAAAGATATACATTTTCAGTTTCCACGGACTCTAAAACTAAGGAAATAACGCAACTTTGACGGCCATTTTCTTGCTTATTTTACCTCTGAAACTAGGCGACCCCCGCCTCCTTCATTCGCCAATGCTTGACTAGTACAAAAGATAAAGCAAGGCAAATGAACAGGCTTTAAAATGACGCCAATAATTCCATATGCCCCAAATTGATGAGCGCCTGATTCCACCGCGTCGTGACACATTTTATTGAGTGTGTCCGGTGGGATGTTGTATTCCACTCAACCGGTATTGGCCCTGATCAGCAGAGTCAAAGCAGCGTGCCTCCTAAATTCTCAAGTTGGTATTGATGGGGGTGGGAAAAATTTAGGTCTACAATCATTTACAATCGTATGTTAGTCATGTGTTGTCCATTTGTTCCTCTTACTTGTAAATGGAACATGAACTAACACCAAGTCGGGATATGCAGGGATAAGTCCTGGCTAGTCCCAAGACATTTTATTATTTTTTTCCTTGCACTGCCAAGTTCCTCCGTTCTTCTCCTCTTTGCTGTAAGCATTTGTCAATAGATGTATGAGAAAGTTGATGAGACTGTTTGTGTGTTTTTCTGAATCTGAGGGCTCGTCTTGTTATCAATTTGATAAAGACAAAGCCGAATTTTGCGATGTGTACAAAAAAACTTGTTTTACGTTTTGTTGTTATAACATCACCAATACCCCGATGATGACTGTTTCTCTTACTCTGAGTTTTGAGCTATTTGTGCTATATACCTCCACCTAACTGTTATGACCTATGTGCTCAAAGGACATTGAAAGTAAAGTTAGAAATCTCTTTGCCATTACTGCCATGCTGTGAAAATTTGTGTTTTGTAATTGGGGATGTGATGGGTTGGGTTTTTTTTATCCCTCCTGGTGTGGATTGAGTCGAACTGACATTTTTAAAATTTGCTTTCAGGTCATACATTGTCCTCTCTCTCTCTCCCTCTCCCTCCCTCCCTCCCTCCCTTTAACCCTCCCTCACTATCTCTCCTACCATCACCCATTCTTTTTTCATTCAGTCTCAATAAATGAATGTGTGTGATTTCAGGGTGTCAGTATGCTGGAAAATATGTGTCCCAGTTTGGGGGGAATGTGTTCATTTCATCTGGTGCACTTGACATTTTCTACTTTTGTTTATGTTTGGGAAAAAGCATGGTGCGTCTTGTGCTCTCGTATTGTTTTGCTTTTAGTTTTCTTGTAAGTGAAATCTGCCAAATCTGGCTGTGTCTCTGTCACTTCAGCAGTACAAGTCAATGTTATCCAGGCCAGAACAGGGAATGTAATTGAATCAATGAGATTTGATGAATGTGATGGGATGAACTTGATTGGATGAAATGTGAATGAATGTGATTTGAAAATGTGACAGACAGGATGGACATGACTGGATGAACAAAATGACATGTGTGTTTATGGATGGATCATACCTGTTCTTGGTAGCTGAATGAAGCACTGTGGAAAGTTTTCACATAAAAGAAAGTTAAGCGTTTGTTTTGCTGTTCTTCTAGCAGAGTTGTAGCCCCTCTCACAGTGCACCAAGTCCGTAGAGTCTGTCAGATTCACATGAGTTTTCCTGGGATGCTGGGTGTTTTCTCATGGTGGGTGGTCGGGTTGGTGCTCTTGGGTGGTTTGCTCCTTCCTTCTATAAAACGTCTATCGTTCTTATCCCTCCCCCTATTTTGTGTTGGTTACTCTTGTGTAACCCCTATATTTTGTCACTTATATGACTTAATTATATTGCAAGTACCATAAAACTCTTAAAAAAGAAAAATTTTCTCTTTCTCCTTTGCTTCGAACTGCCACAGAAAACGCATAATCCGTTGACGCTAGGGTTGACCGGCATGATGATTGTTGATGATTGCTCAGCTGAAGAAGGCCTACTGCGCGCACGCACACACACACACACACACACACACACACACACACACACACACACACACACACACACACACACACACACTCCCCCGACCTGTTTTTCGAGGTAGTTGAATGTTGCAGAGTTGCCGATTTGGTGGTTGATCCTGAAATCCAAATTTCTGAAATTGTCCTGATTTTGTCCAGCTTCTTGACACAAGATGTATTAGACATTATGATCAGTATGTTTCTAGCCCTGCATGCACGTTTCCATGGGGCCTGAAAAGATCTGGATTTTTTTTTCTTAGAACCTCTGTTCATGGGGTGGGGGACCCTGGTGTCTTTTCAGAGAGCCCATCTGCCTATAAATGATGGACAGGTTCCTTTGTTAGCAATGTTAGAGATGTCCTTATCTGTACTTACCAGACTGTCTTCCATCTGATTGTTTAGGCCTTTTGTCCTTTCAGCACGGGTTAGTCTTGACAGGCAGGGGGGGAGCCCGCCCCCTAAATGTTCTCAATTGCTTGTATGGGAGTGTGATAGGACGGGAGTGTGATAGGACGGGGGGGGGAGGAGCATCCCGCCTTTTAAATGATCTAAGCTGCGTGGTGTCTTTGACATGCACTGTCCAGAGTTAATCACCTGCCTTCCTAGCATTTACTGAGTATCCACATCGAGGGTAGTGTTGAAGAGAGAGCACCTACTACAAATTAGGCTGACGGGTGGGTGGTTGAGCTAGTGGCTGGACCAGTCAAGTCCTCTCCCCCCCCCCTTCCCTGTGGTGAAGGTGTTAGTCCATATAGGGGGAAGCGGACTCATCCACACTGGGGAAAGTTGAGATGACTTTCCCTCCCCATGTAAAGGTGAGGCTTATCGGCCCTTTAGGTAGAGATAAGTTTGACCAGTCCCTGTGGTAAAGGTATTATCAGGGGCCTGTGCATGACCATCTTTTTAAGGTATTGTCTGTGCTGGGAAGAGTGATTTTAGTTGTCAGGTATTTAACACACACACCCATGTAAACGCAGACGCACACCCATTCATTGTTTGCACATATAGAAGCTGTCATTGTCGGACTATCTGGTCACATGAGCAGGCCCCTCACAGCTCTCTTCTCTCCTTAGCATAATATGTTCATAGTTGTATGGAGGGATAGTGGAGTCTGGGCAGCTTGGTCTGAGAGCTGACCAAAAAGAGTTTGGAGCATACGGAACAGCTCAGGGCCTGGTGTTGAGATGGTCAGTTTTCTTGACCAGACACTGTCACGTTGTTGCTTCCCTGTCAGTTTGCTGTCTTCGTCTCTTTCTGGTCTCTTGTTGGGGGTTGAAAGTTTTATACACAGTACCGTTTTGTTCATGAAAGTGGTTGCCTGACTTCTAAGCTAACCGTCGCCTGTGATGTAGTGATTCAGCGCTCAACCATTGTGCACACAGAAAACATGAATATGTTTTCCACGTGGGGAGGGATTTTTTTTTTATCAAGCGTCCTGTCTATGTGCTTGGACATGGTATCCCCCTCAGCCTTGTTGGCCCTGGTAGGCAGAGCTGAAGCAGCCCACCTCCTAAATTATCTAAAATTGTGTCGATATGGGCAGAAAGCTTCTGTAATTATTTTTCTTCCCAGCTTCGGAATGTTAGGTTTAGTAGTGATATCTTTTTTTTAATGAACTTGTTTGCCTTTTTATTTAAGAAGGAAGTTAGGGTCTTTTTTTAAAGAAGTTTTTGTGGGGTTTTTTTTATTTTGCTGACACCTGACTTTTGCGTTTACTTCCTTCCGACTTGCTCAGGGTAACTTACCTCCCTCTCGTTGTTTCTTTTTGTTGACACATCTGTTTGTTGTTTTTGATTTTTACTGACTGAAAGTTTTCTCCCACTCATTTTTTCACATCATCCAAGACATGGAATGGCGACTTTGAATTGTTGTAAATTCTTTTTTGTTTACATGCTGCACTTTGGGGTTTGGGGAATTTGGGGGGTGGAGGGGTCTGCTTTTCTTGCCCTTCATTTTTGTATCTCTTGTTTGTTTGCAAGTAAACGGTCATCTGTCTTAGAACTCACTGCTGTCCACGGAACCCATGGCTGCTTGCTCCTTTCCTTAGTTCTTGAAATGTAATGGAGTTCGCGGAACTGTAGCAGGAAGAGAGATAACATGTGGATTTCCAGTGAACTCTGTGTGTGTCAGTCCCTGCTGGTTGTTTTAATTATGCGGATATGTGTGGATGGTTGAAGGGTGCCACTGGTAGGTCCTATTTTCTTTCTTTCCCTCTTTTGTTTCTGTCTGTGTCTTTCCCTGCGCTAAATAGCACTTATTGTGTCAATGTGCTAATCTTTAGCCTATTCAAAACGAACTTGGTCCAAGCTAGAATCACCCAACAAGATAGCTTAGGATGGGATTTATGTAGAAATGAATGTGTCTGTAAATACCATAACCAGGAAGTTGTCTCTTCGTTATTTTGAGTATCTTGAGTCTGTCTTCTTGGAATCGTATCCCTTTCAGATGGGGTTGGCCTGGATGCGCAGGGTCAAGGTAGCTTGCCTCTTAAATGATCTGACTTTGTCGATGGAGGTTTTGAGGAAAGGGGAGGGGGATGAGCTTCTTTTTACTTTCTCATCATTGTGCTGTGGAGGGAAAGTGCTGGTTGAGTGGTGTGAATGCTAGGAAAAACTGAAAGAGCTGCCCGTCATTTCTTCTGTTTTTGCTAGTCCCTCTGTGGTGAGCTGTCGAATTGTTTGGTTATCCTGCTCATGTCTATATATATAGACTCTGTGGACTTGTTTCTATATGTTTTTACTCACCGGACTCCTGTCCATATATTATAGATTCTGTGGACTCGTGTCTATACATAGACAGACTCAGTGGACTCAAGTCTATATATACATAGACTCACTGGTCTTGTATCTGTATGTCGACAGAGATTCAGTGGACTTGCGATTATATATATATTTATATATAATTATATATATAATAATATATATATACAGATAAGTTTTGTGTTTATATATATATTGATAGACTCAGTGTACTCGTTTCTATGATATATAGATAAGCTCACTGGACTTGTGTCAATATAAATATCATTTGCCCAGTAAAAGACTCTGTCATACACATCTATTTTTCAAAATGACATATGACAGAGTCTTTCACTAAACAGTTGATATGGACGACTCTGTGACCTTGTGTCTATATATGGACTGACTGCACATGTGTCTATATACAGACTCAGTGCCAGACTAGTTTCTTTGAGAAGGAAGTCGTGTCAGATAATGTGCAGTATTTGCTGTAAGAGATTATATGTTAGATGTTTTTGTCCCGTTAATATCATGTTTCCATGGCTATGGTACCCTCTCTGAGCTAAGTCGTCTGTACAAATTATCTGTGAGAATGTCATTGTTTTAAAGTCTGATTGTATGTATTGACTTTTTACCCGCGTTTTTCTCTCTGGTTTGCTTGATGCAGTTAAGAATTGCCCTTAAACTACTTTTGTGATGTTTGAAATGCCATTTTGGGGGGGGTTTGTTGTCTTGGTATGGACAGGTTTTACGTAAAATTGAACACCAGTGTGTATGTGTGTCTGTTTGTGTAGGATAGGTGCTGTTGGTCTGCTTGTTCTATGAAAAGGCTGCTTGTTGGGTGAATGTTCTCCAATGAGGTGATGTGAAGTACCGTACACAAGGTTGCAGTGGCTGGTTGCTGGAGTATTAGGGAGAGAAAGTTGTTCATGTGCTCCTAGATCTGTGGAATTGAGACATAATGTTCACCCTGGTGGTCTCTTGTCTATTGTATAAACTACCTGAAACTGCTAGAGGCTGGATCACTTGACAAATCATAATATAATTATACATTGTAGTTGCATTTTATTTAAAGCCTAAAGGATGATGCAAAAAATATACACTCCATGTACAGTATATATTTTTTGCATGGTTGGTTTTTAGGATTTAAATAGGCATCTATCTTGTGATTTTTCGTTAGCATTATATTGTAGATACTTTTGCAGATTGATCACTAGGCTTATCAAACAAGACTTTCCTTATGCAGTGGAACGGAGAGAACTGAGGCACTAAAAGACTGTAGGTCATGAAGGGGGGGGGGGGATATATTTTCTTAGTTCTCAGTGGCTGTCTGGCTAGTGTGTTTCAGTACTTACTGTTCATCTTTGCAGAAATGCAGACCTTTTGTCTGTAGAAAATGACAATTTGGCAGTACTACTTACACAGAAGGGCTGTTTCAGATAATTGATAAAAGTAATTTTGGAAGGGAGGCACATTTTACTTAAAAGTATTCTTTTGAATGGAGGACATTGTTTTATTGTTGTTGTTTGTTTTTTTTGTTTTTTTCCCCCCCAGTGAACAACAGTCGTGAATCAACAAGCTGATTGGAGTGATGAAAAAATTGAATTGTAGTAAACAAAGTTTGATCATGAAGAGACACTCGAATTACAAGAACAGTTGCCAGCCACCTAAGAGATATATTAAATGAAAACTTATTTTCTTTTGCCGCCTTACACTTCCAATGCCTGATAATGTTCTCTCCTCCAGCTTAAGGGGATGCCGGCCTCCGCTATGTTGCCGTTGTTGTTGTTGTTGTTGCTGTTATTGCTGAGTGTGGCCGGTGTCAGCTCCTCGCTTTCCGCCATCTGTCATATTGTTATAATGCTCTGTTCATGCCATACGCTGCGCCGCCCGCACGCTCGCCCGCCAGCCACCGCTGACTCTGACTCTTCTTGAGTGTCACCATGCCAGTTCCTCTCGCCATCGTCACCTGCTGCCATGTCTGACCTGCCACGTGACAGGTTGTGCCATGTTTGACGTGACACATGATGGTTGCTGTCATGTCTTACGTGACACATGGCTGTCACTTCCCTGTCGGATGTGACGCGTGATAACCGCTGCCATGTCTTGACATGACATGTGACGGC